GACCTAGTTGTGAATCCTGGCTTACACTACTGGGCAATGTAACCTCTGTGAGACTCAGTTTCCTCATTTGTAAATTGAGAGGCTTAAAAGAGATGATTCTGAATTAGGTCCTTCTCCTGCTCTAAATTCTCTGCCCCACAAGCTCACAGACTGGTGAGGTATTCAAAAGAGTATCTTCTTTCTGTGTATTTCAGACAGGCAATGCCGTATAGTGCTGCACCCTGGGTCAGAAGAACAACCAGCTGATCACCATTATCTCCTGGCAAAAGTGGTCCTCTTCCCTGCTCTTTTATGCTTACCCCATACCTTACCCAACCAAACCAAGATTGGGAAGTTTTCTTTTTGCTCTTGCTTCAAATTCAACTTAAGAAACAGAAACTTCAAACAAATTAGCTACCCACCACAGGTAGCAAAGGTAGGTAGTCCCAGGGACAAAGTATAATACAGCAGGTAAGCAGGACACCAGCATGAGAGGCAACAAGGGAAAAAAAAGCCATAATTAGGGTGAAGCCAAGTCTGCCTTTTCTTCCTAGTGTTTTTTTTTTTCAGGGAAATCTCACTATAAGAAAGATCAAACATGAGACTCCAGGATCCCAGTTCTAAGTCCCAGCTCTATCACCTAGAAGCTGTATAAACATGAGTAGGTCATTTAATCTGAGTCTCAGTCTCCCCATACATAAAACGTGAATAACACTTGCCTTACTTAATTCACAGGTCTTTTAAAAGAAAAGTGCTCTGTAAATGGTAACGTACTATATGAATATAGATGCTTTTATTTTTATTACCTACCACCCACTGCTGAGATCATCTGTGTACCCTATGCACCTGTACCTAGTGATCCTTCCATATTGCCACCTGGTGATGGGCACCTCCTTGAGGTAGCTCCCATTGCTAACCCTCACACAAGATGGAACTACCTCAGAGGATACATACAAATGTCATTTCATGGAGTGGCAAAGTCAGGTGGCAGGTGGGGAAGCCACACATCTGTTTCTCCTGGGAATGAGTTGTGAGTAGGCCAGGGAAAATGAGACTCCCACAATGGGTATCCCCTCTCACTGAACCCCTGAGGCAGCATGAGGCTGACCTGAGGCAAACAGAAAGTCCTAGCTTAAGAATATTAGGAACTCAGGGGGAGCAGCAAAGCCAACAGGCCAGGAAAGCAGACAGCCACTTTACTTTCCCCAAAAGAGCCTCTTTAATCAGGAAGGGGAACCTGAGCAAAACCTGAGAGCAAAGCTCCAACCTCTGGAGGGAAAGGGAAAGAAAGAAGGATCTCCTGTCAGTATGCCTGCCTAGATCCTGGATAAAGTTCACCTGGAGTCCAAGGTAAAATGGATATGTGGTTACCTGCGAGGTAAGGGGCAGGCACCCAAGGCAAGGGATGGCATATCCATCATTCAAGACTTCTCATTACAGTATTTTATATCCCCGAGGCTGCCACCCTATGCAGGTTTCGAGATTGGCAGGGGATAGGAGTGGGGTGGGAAATCATACTGCACAGCTTCTGGTCCTTGATAGGTGTCTTATATTTTCAGTTTGCTTCTGCCTTTCTAAAGACCAGTTCCCAGGGGAAGGAAGGCTTGATATTTCTCACCTACACCTTAGAATCCCCCACTGGAGCTTGGGATAGTAGCCTCGGTACCATGTCTGTACTCAGAGAAAATGGAGTGATTTCGGCCTTGCCCCTTACCTGATCTATCACTCCAGACCGTTTCTTCTCATAGCAGGAAAACTCATATACTCCCCAAATCAATAGGCTTCCTTCACACCAAGAAAGAAGGTCCTCCTTCTTTGCTTAAGAACAAAGGTATGGGGAACAAATCGTCATTCTAATACCATACGTTCAAAGTGAAGCGAGACTCCTCATGCCACTTTCGTCATGTCCTCTCTCTCCAGGCAAATCGTTTCCTCAAGTTTCATCTAAGGGGTAACCAATGGTCTAAATGCACTACAAGAGCCCAACCACCAAGAGTTTGGCAAATGACACAGTATACGTTCACACTCATCTTTATACTCCCCCCAAATGAAATCAGCTCACTTCGGGACATGGTACTGTATTTATAGATGAAAAATCAAATTTCTCCTTCCTAAGCCCAAAACAATTCCCCCAGTGACCACCATCTTATAGGTGGAGAGTGTTGGAAAGACTATTGGAGGAGATAGGGGAGGATAGGAAGATAATCTATAGACTTTCCCAAACTGTCATTGTTCAGGGCTGGGCACAAGCTGCCAAACCATCCAATGTGTTAAGAGAAGAGGGTGATAACTCAGCTCAGTGAATGAGCAAATGAAGAAGAGTTCTAGTTGGCTCAGCCCAGGAAGGCATATATACTGCTACTACATTCCACCTCCCAACTACCTTCCTAAAGGAAAAAACAAAGAATCCCACTGGTGGCCCAATTTGCCCTAACTATACTCTGAATTCCCCAAAATCCCCTCATCCAGTGTACCACTCAGCTCAGACAAAGTCCCGAACTACTATTCAAATAATTCAGAGCAAAAAATAAATTCTACTTTCATCTATCTGAATTATCTAAGGTTTGAGGGCCTAAATGATTTGATGAACTGCCTTGTTTTATTTATTTATTTTACTGTGGAGACTCAGCTTTAGCAGTCTGCCTTGAGTGAGTAGAACATAGTGACAATTGTGTGATTTGACAGCGCCACTGAGTTCCTTAGGTCAGCAGGTCATCACCCCTTTCCCCAAGAAGTCTGCCTGGTTAATTTAGGAGCCAGAGCCGTGACAGTGAAATGGTCTCTTGTGACATTCGCTTCATCTCAACTCTGCTGTATGTTGATGGAAGTCAAGAATGTGGCCTAAAATGTGAGGAAACAGACTGATTCAAGTGGAAAGCTGGATAAGGCTGGGTCAAGGTATATCATGACTAAAATTTCGAGTCTTCCTCTGTCCCCATCTCTTAATCAGAGGGTGCACAACCCTATTCCTAAGACATCTGCAGGTTAACCTGGGGTCGACTGCCTCACTGGCTCAGATAATGGAATAATAGAGTTCCATGTCTTCTCTGTGTCCCTTCAAACCAAAAAATAAATAAAAAGACTTTCTGTCTCAGTCAGCAGACATGAGAACGGAGAGCTAACCTTTTGTTGGGTTGTTGTTGTAGTTTTATCTTTCAAAAAAAAAAAAAAAGAGAGAAGTCTCCTGATTTAATAGTTCACTCTCTCTTTGCCAGCAATGGTCACATTCACCTAGCACCAGTAAGGCCAGTCATGGACCTAGAGAGGAGCAAGGAGGCAGTGCCCAGCTGCAGTGCCCACTGCCACCCTGCTAAGAAAACTGCTTCTCTAGACACGAAAAAACAGATGAAAGAGGAAGTCGAAAATAATTCCTTTTTTTTTCCCCAAAGCTCTCTTCCAAAACTAACCATATCAACCTCTGTTGAGTTCCTATAAAACCAAGGCTGAGGGTGCCTGAAATTATATTTATATATGGATACCCTCCTCAACTCCCCAAATAGACAATGTTAATAGCAGCAGTTTTCCCTCTTTTTTTCCTGTTTCTTAAACGAAAGGGGCACACACACACACATACACACACACACACATACACACACATACATACACACACACCATGACATAGAAAAGAACATTTGAAACAGTCCATTAAGTTGAGCTACGTCCTCCTATGATCGCCTAACCAGAGAAAGGAAGAATTGAGATGAGAAAGAGAAAGCTAGAATACAGGAAAAGGGAGGAAAAAAAAAAAGAAAAAGAAAAAGGTTTGGTAGCCCTCTCATTACAAGTTGGTTGGGCATAATGTAAACACACTTCTGCTTTGCTTAATCACAGAGTGCCGGCTCGTTTGGGTTTCAAAGGCGGCAGTAAATTGGGCGTAGCTGAGTGGAGGCTAAAAATTAACCAGCCATCTCTGTTTCAATTTGTAAGAAAACAAAAGCAGAAAGAAATTATAAAAGGGACAGGAGGAAAAAATAGAAGAGGAATTAAAGCCCCCAAACTCCAAAAGCAGAGTAAAAAGAGGGAAGGAGAAAAAAGTACTAAGAAAATCCTTATGGAGCAAAGATCTTTAAAAATAAAAATAAAAAGCTTTTCCTGGGGGGGGGGATATTCTCGGCCAAAGAGAGTGGCATGAAAAATATATCATTGTAAAAACTGCCAAGCCACTACCACTGTGCCACACAAGTGTGCCCAACTTTTATTTATCTGCAATTAAGTCTATCCAGGGTACAGATCTGACCCGTTCAGCCCCAAAAAAGACAGAGTAAGGACTCAGAGCTTTGGACAGTAAAAGCAGAGTCTTTCCAGTTTGTTTGTTGTTTTGTTTTGTTCCGCACCCCCTCCCCAGATTTCTCGGTGAAATCACTGCCCAATTCTTCTCTAGCAACAGCTAGGCCTAGCCAAAACAACTCCCTTTTCCATCCCTACCTAATTCATCTTCAGCCTGAGTGTCTAAAGCCGGGGTACCTTAGTGTTTGATACATTCTTTTTTTTTTATTGATTCACAGAAGGGAGAGTTCAGCCTGATATCCACAGAGCATCCCAGTTTCATCTCCCGCTGACATTAGCACTGCCCAGTATCATGCCAAAAGCATGTCCGACAACAACCTAAGGGGATAGCCCTGTGGTGCCCCAACACCTCTTCACTTTCATTTTAAAATATAACACAAATTCTGGATTCTCCCCCATCTCAATCTCTCACCAACACAGGACAAATCCTGGGACATTCCAGTCCCAAACCAAAGAGCCATGAAGCTTTTTTGGAACAAGATAGTCCTTCAAAAGATGGAGACATAAAATAGGGACTGTGGTAAGGGCACCTAACAGAGGAAGAATAAAGAAGAAGGGAAGGAAAAAAGAGAATAAAGAAAAAGTGAACCCCAGGAATAGTGCAGGCCCCTGCTAGAGTGCCCACTGAGGCCTACTGCAATTTGATCTTTTTTTTTAAATAATAAAACAAACAGGAAAATAATCTAAATCCAAGTAAATAAAATAAAATGAAAACAGTGTTCAGAATGACCTACCAGGAGTGTGGACAAAGTAAGCCAGGTAAAGATCCAGTTCTTTGATTGTGACTCCAATGTGGTGAGGCTGGACACACAGGCCGGGGTTGGAGCACTGGGGTGACTTGTAGAGCCGCTCCCCATCAGTACTTTCCAGGGGGATCCCCTTAAACAAAATCACCATGACCAGGTCGAGCCGCCACACCTTGTCGGCCTGACGCAGGCAGTCAATCCGGCGGATCTTGCCCTTCTGGTCAGGGTTGGAGAGGACACAGCAGGGGGCCTTCTTGCCGGTGATGGTCAGCACAAAGTCCTCTCGGAACTCGGGCCGGATGTCCTTGCGCAGCTTGGCCAGGAGCCGGGACGCCCACTTCTGCTTAATCTCGGGCTTCTCCCCCAGCAGCTCATCCTTCACTGCCCGCTCCTCGTCCTTCGACATGCGCTTCTCATGTTTCTTGAAGTACTTGCGCTTCCGCGCCTGCAGATTGAACCAGGTGTAGGAGAAGGCACGGACATGAGGCAGCAAGGCCTCGATGAACGGGTGGAATTCATCCTGCAGGCGGCAAGACGGGAGCATGCGGGGCGAGGTGGGGAGCCGGCAGGAAGGGAGGGAGGGGAAGATGGTGAGGAAAAAAAGAAGAGGAAAAGAGAACAAAAAGTGTTAGAAGAGGGATGCTACAAGGAAATAGACTCCCTCCTCCCCCCCCCGCCAATTTTTTTTCTTTCTAGTCACCCAACAAAACTAGGGTTAGCCAGCTTAGCCAGGCACTTGCTCCCATCTCACTCCCAGCAACCAAAAGAGAGAGAGCCACTGAGTGCCTATACACACACCTATTCTCTCTCTCTCTCTCTCTCTCTCTCTCTCTCTCTCTCTCTCTCTCACACACACACACACACACACACACACACACACACACACCAGACACACACCCATATACAATATCTGTGTTCACACACACAAGCAGCAGATATCCCCATTGCACTCTGTTGCGCCCATGCAATATCCATGTTATATTGCAGGGAGGATCTCTGTATTATCTCATGGAGGTACAGTATCTCTGCACATATGTCTGCACACTCATGCACAAGGACTCATGCATGCAGAAACCCCCATGAGCCCAGATACTATTCAATTTTGGCAACCCCCAAAAAAAGAAAATGACACCCACAAGAGGCGAAAGAGATTTGGATCCCCACCCCCAGGTGCTTTTTCTTCCTTTCAGATCAGTTTCAACATCTACCCTAGAATTTCTATTAATCAATTATAAATCTTAACTATGTAAGCATGACATTATTAATAACATCAATCAGAATGCTAATCATAATAATAAACAAGACATTTATTATTCGGATAAATAAATAAACAAGGTGGCTCGCCTTGGTCACATCAGGGTTAAAAGCTACTGGGTCCTTTTCCACCCCCTTCTCTATCTTCCCACTGACCCCTTTACCCTCTTTTTTCCACTCTGCCAGGTGTAAAGAGAGCTAAGATTTCATTTTTGTTGTTGTTGTTGTTGTTTGGGGGTTAAATAATATTTGACTCCTTTTTGCTAAATACAAATCTGGAAAAAATAAATAATTACCATTCCTCCGAAGCATCCCGGCAAAGCCCAACACCAGATTCTGAAATTCTGGACTCAACAGAGTTGTGAGTTGGGGGTGGGGGTGGGGGTGGGGGGTGTGGAAAGGAGGGAGTGGGAGGAGGAGGAGAAAGGATAGGATGAAGGTAAAATTTTTTAAAAAGGAAGGGGGTGTTATTGGTTTTCTACAGAAGGGGGGCAGGGCTTGGTTGGATTCTCAGATTCCCCCCCCCATTTCCCCCTTAACCCTTCATGCACATGGGGGGGGGGATTATTTTTTTTCCTTTGGAAAGAAGAGAAAGGAAAGAAAGAAAGGTCAGAGATGGCAGGCAGTGAGAAAGCCCGTTGCCACACACGCCAGGTAAACAAAAGCCAACAATTTTTTTTTTCAATTTCCCCTCCTGTGCATCCCTCCAATTAAAAAAAAAAAAAAGATATATGCTGAAAGAAAAACCCAAATCCAGCTCCCCACCCCTATCCCTACCCCCACACCCCCCCACACACACACCCCCCGCCAAAAACCCAGGAGAGAAAAAGCAGCAGCTGAAGAAAAAGGCTTTCGGCTTTGGCAACGGCACAGGGATGTAAACTTAGATCTGCCTCTCTCTCCGCCTGTTTGGAGGAAAAGGGGGAGATCGCAGATTCCCGGGGAAAAGGACGAGTTCTGACCGGCTGCAGACCGTCGCTGGCAGAGGCGCGTGAGAGAGAGAGAGAGAGAGAGAGAGAGAGAGAGAGAGAGAGAGAGAGAGAGAGAGAGAAGAGAGTGTGCTGTGGGGTTTTTTTTTTTTTTTGCTTCTTTTCTCTCTCAAACTCCCTCTCTCTCCTTTCATGCTCAATCCCCATCCATTTGCTTGTGCCAAAGCCAGAAAAAAAAGGGGGGGGGGGGAAGAGAGAGAAAGAGAGAGAGAAGGATCCACCTATTTGGCAAAGAGACATCTACTGAACAGCCAATGGCTGCATCAGAGGGGAGGAGGGAAAGGAGGAGAGCCTGGGAGGGTGGGGAGGGACCGGGCGGTTAGAGACCAAAAACAATTTGCCAAATCGACAAGTTCATATCTAATGAACAAGCAAAGTCCAGCAGTTATGAATTTTTTATTCCATGCTCCCACTCTGGTAGATTTGGCAGCAACGGCACAGCAAATTTAAGTGGGGGGGGGAGGCAAGAGGCGGCTGCGGAAATTATATTTTTTAGCCAGAAAAATAAATAAATAAAGGAATGCATATAACCGGGAGCCCCAGAAGGCCTTGGAGAAAGCAGCTGCGCCTTCTTTCTGTATTTTGGTTTCAGTCTCTCTCCCATACATGCACGAGCTCTTTTTCTGTCTCTTGCTTCCTTTTTTATTTAGGGAGAAAACAAGGAAAAGTAGAAGTTATCATCCTGAGCTATATAGGTTTGCAGTTCTATGAAGAGGAAGAGAAAAGGAAAAGAGGAGAGAAAAAGGAGAGAGAGAGAGGAGAAAAGAGAAGAGAAGAGGACAGGAGAGGAGAAGAGAGGAAACAGAGAGAGAGCAGGAGAAAGTATATATGTAAACAACTCCTTCTAGTCTCTTTCTAAAAAGAAAACTCAGCTGGTCACCCCAAGTAGAAATCTTAATCCTGCATCCCTAGGTTAGAGAGAAAGAGAGAGAGAAAGGGGGGGGGGGGAAGGAAGGAAGAAAGAAAGAAAGAAAGAAAGAAAGAAAGAAAGAAAGAAAGAAAAAAGGCCCATAGCCAAAATCAAAAACAAAAAACAACTGAAGACCACTCTTTCCCTGCCTTCCTTCCAACCTCCATCAGCATGCAGTATTCTATCAGGAAAGTTTTCTTTAGAATCTCTGAATAACGCCCATACAGACACAGTTTAGCTTGCTACATTGAAATAATATATTTATTACCAGTTTATAGCCCCTATCCTAGCCCTACACTGACGAGTACTATAGCTGTGCAGACAAACCAACAGAGAAATGATAGCAACAGATTCACACTCAATTTCAGAAGTTATTTCCTGTCTTTTGTCTACTGCTCTTCCTTCTCAGGATTTATATTCCCTTTTCTTTCTCACTCTTATCCTCTTTCCACTTCTTTTTAAAAATAATTTTCTTTTTGAAGAGAGATTTTCAAACCTATTTTCTCAGTCAACTGTCCTACTCCCCAAACTTACTCAGACTGAGCTGAGAGGCCTAACTTGCACAGCACAAGGTTGTCTATGTCAAGAGAACAAACAACAACAAATTAAATGAAAGGGAGTGAGAGAAAGAAGAAAAAGAGGGCAAAGAAGACAAAGGCTTTGATCCAGAAGAGCTAGATAAACACAGAGAAATGGGATAAAGAGAAGAGATCAGTGCTCAGCCCTGGGAGAATCCTGGTGGTTATTCCTGATGGTGAATAGCTTTTACTCCAGATCCTCATGACAGGGCCAATAGCTGAATACTGTGAAAAGAGGCAGGGACCTAAGGAGCAGTGAATCTGTCTGAGAAAAGAGGTTAAGGAAGTCTCATGTTTCTTCCTAACTACTCCTTCCAAAGGAAGCCTATGGAGAAGTCACTGCATTGGGACCTGGGAAGCAAAAGTTAGAGAAGGGTAAAAAAAAAAAAAGACATGGAAGAAAGAGAGAGAGGAAAGAAAGAGATGGACAGAGACAGATACCCTTATCTCCAGTTAGACTGACATCTAATCTAGCAGTGGGGGAGAAAGAACCTCATTTGAAATATCTCATACTATGGCTTTACTTTCAGCAGAAGAGTCTCATGGGTTATGAACTCTTGTATAGATGCAGCATACAGACCAGGTATAGACAATAACCAATAATGGAGCAGGAAGGCTGAAGCTAGCCTGTCCTTTTCCTCAAATGGCATACACACACACATACATACATACATACATATATGTGTGTGTGTGTGTGTATATATTCAGTACTGGGAATAGGAGAATAGTTTACGTAAGTATGTTACAGCTACTTTTCAATAATTCGATTATGTCAGATAATAACTGGTTAATTTTGTACCTTAACCAAAGCAGGAGGAGAGTGAATCTAATGTCTGATGTAAACCAAAACACCCAAAACAACTTTCCTTCTTGAGATATTTGAGATATAAATGGTTTACAGCAAAGTCAATGAGAAAAGACATCATGTGCACTCAGACATGCATGTATAGAGTAAGTATACATTTTCTAGTAATTCAGTTTACACTGAACATTAGATGTTGCCCATAAATATATTCAGCCTTAGCTAGTTGTTAAGCATTAGCAGCAGTATCTCTCTGTGTTTATGCAAGCACACAATCTAATGGTGTCACTAAGGAAAGGGAGGTAAGAATTCTAAAGCAAGTAAACTAGAGACCAGGTAGCTAGAGAGTCACAGCTAGGAGTTTGTGGAGCAGTGAGAGACCTATGCTCCTAGGATGGGCCCAGGCAGATGGATAAAAAGATTGCCTCAGAGGTGGACAGAACTGATACCAGAGGTTGGTAGTGCCTCTAACAACACACACACACACACACACACACACACACACTCCCCTCTTCAAGCCTTAGAAAGATCCATTAGTTACAGGCCCTTCCCAAGTCAAGGAACTTAAAGAGAGAACAAGAGTCAGTTGCTGATTTGCCCAGTGGTCAGTTTCCATTGCCTTTAAAGGTGGGCAGAAGAAGGGTAATAGGAGTGGGAGGAGCCCCCACAGGTTCCCAGCCAACTTAGGTCTCTCATCTCATCTCTTTCCCTCAGGTAGTAGCTAAGGGGTAAGTTCCATAGGGACACACAATAGGAAACATATTTCTGGAAGACTGTTGGGTATACCCTAAATACCAAAAGAGGGAGTAAAAGTTATTTTGATCAACAAAATCAGAAGAGATTAAGTCAGTCAGATCTCAAGCAGCACTCTCTGCCCTCCTGTCACCCTGCTCCACCTGTGTTCCATTTGTGGCAGACAGAAGCCCTAGAAACACGCCCCTCAGGAGTCCCAGACAAAAGGGGACTGTCCCCCTTTTGTTAGCAGAG